TGGTGCTTCCTGCTGTCATGCCGGGGGACTCCTTTGCTGTGCCTTTACACCTCACTTCTTGGCGGCTGCAGGCCCGGCCCAAAGGGTTGGGCGTATTTTTCTGTAAGGCTCCTATCCACTGGACGAATGTAGTGAAGACAGCAGAGGTTAGTAGCAGCAAACGAGAGTGCCATTCCATGGACACAGAGAAAAACCGATTCTTCAGGTATGCATGGCACTGCAATGTGTATTTGTGGGTATTTTTTCTTTATTCTTTCTCTAAGGACCCTCAATGATTCAGTTGTGCTTATTTAAAACCCTAAAGTTTTTCGCTTTTAAAAAAAACCATTTTTATTGATTTCAGAGAGGAGGGAAGAGGGGGAGAGAGAGATACAAACATTAGTGATGAGAGACAGTCATTGATCGGCTGCCTCCTACATGCATCCCATTGGTGATCGAGCCCGCAATTCAGACACTGCCCTGACCGGGAATCGAACCATGACCTCCTGGTTCATAGGTCGATGCTTAACCACGGAGCCACACTGGACGGGCTGTCATTCCCTATTTATGCAGTTCAAGAGCGGGCACAACTGATCTATACAAATATCAGAGATTGTTACTCTTCTGATGGGGGAGAGGATTTTGATTGGAAAGGGATATGAGGGAATGTTCTGGAGTGAGAGAAATATCCTATCACTGGTTTTGGGTGGTAGCTATAGGGTGTATATAATTATCAAAACCCACAAACTGGAACATTTAAAATCTATACATTTATTCTGACTTAAATTGTAGGTCTCTTACTGGGTTATTGAACCATTTTGATGCTATGCTCTCTCAGACTCAGCCAAGGAGAAAAAATTCAAGTTCTTCATTGGTGGTTTTTATACCATTTTGTCTTCATAGGTTTTGTGTGGCCATAAAGAAAGAGAATTATCCAGATTACATGCCCTCAAACATATTTTCTGATAGTGCAAAACAGATTTTCAGGCAGCCGGGGCATACCATATATCTCCTGCCAACTGTGGTAATCTGCAACCTGCTTCCTTGCGAACTGGATTTTTATGTTAAAGGAATGCCCATTAATGGGACCCTGAAACCTGGCAAAGAGGTGGCTCTCCACACTGCTGACACGGCCCAGAACATTGAACTGGGTAAGGGTTTAGTCAAATTATCATTGGTAGCAATTCTATGAAAATGTCAGTGAGTATTTTGTGACTATTTGGTAAACATTTTAGAGAAATTATAGCCTATACACTATCTCAGTAAACCAGCTCAAAGGATTTATGTAGTTTAAAAAATGTCAGACTTCTAAGGTAGAAAATTATCAAAAGAAAATAATTGAACAGATTCAAAAGATTTCCAGAGGAAGCACTCAACGGAGCCTTTTTTCTTACATTGCTGACTTGATGTATGACTATAGGCAATCACTTCATCTTTTCAGACCAGGCTTTTCCCAGCTATAAAAGGAGCAAAATCATTTTATTGATTTTTTTTTACAGAGAGGAAGGGAGAGGGATAGAGAGTTGGAAACATCAATGAGAGAGAAACATCGATCAGCTGCCTCCTGCACACCCCTCACTGGAGATGTGTCCGCAACCAAGGTACATGCCCTTGACCGGAATCGAACCTGGGACCTTTCAGCCCGCAGGCCAACGCTCTATCCACTGAGCCAAACCAGTCAGGGCTCTCTCCCTCTCTTTTCAGGAGGGAAAACCATTTGCCAAGCACGCACTGTCCTCCAGGCATTTTGTCAGGTGCTTCACACACATGAGCTCATGTCATCCTTACGCAGTAGTTATTTGTCCCATTCCTGATGAAGACATTGCATGTTGAATGCATCAAGTACGTTCAGTTTTAGGGATGAATGAACTCGAGGTAGAGAATCATTAGAATCATTATCCTATTTGTAGCACTTACAGCAAAGAGGAGCTGCTGGAGTTTGGGCAGGAAATATGTTTCTTTAATGCTGCTCTAGAAATGCTGAAAAAATGATGCCTTAGATATTTATCTTTTACAGTTTTGTATATCTTCTCATTTGATCTTCACAACTGCACGTTTGGGGTAGAGAGACAGCTGCTATCCCCCTAGTACAGATAGGAATCTGAAACTCATTGAAATTGTGTCCCACAGCGATAAACTTACATGTCAATGAGCTTCATTTAGAACACAGAAGTGGTACAGTGCTAGGTGTCCTGAAGAAAAGAGGTCTGTGCTCTGACATTTAAGTACTTCTGCAACAAATGTCTGTGAGCCCCTGGGTGAATGGACACGTCCTCCCACCCACCACCACTCTGTGCACACCACCACGCTATCTTCCCAGTCTGCCATGGACCATCACTTTCACAGCAATCCTGCGATGGAGGTACTGTCATTATCCCCGTTTGGAGATGAGGCACAGCAAGGGTGAATCGCTCACCCTGCACCATGCCCTGGGAAGGCCAGGCCGGGACCTGAGGCCAGGCATTCGGCTGCAGAAACCTTGACTCTGACCCCGTCCTTGCCTTTATTGTGGTCTAGGCACCCAGCACAGGGCCTGATGTCTAGTAAGCTCCTAATACTCATAGCTGTTATTGGTACTTTCTGGTATTTTCATCTTTCTAACGATGCCGTTCAGACTCCCTAGTGTGGCTTCCAGACCATCTGGTTTGCTTCATATGTATTCTCACCTGAGCTAGAGGAAAATGGCCATTCTAATGAGATCTTTTTTGCTAGTAAGAGACTAACTGATTTTTCCAAAAGGAATCCAATTTCATTTGACTGCTGGGTATTTTAACAAACTAACGTGAGAGCTTAGAAAGACAATGGCTTATATCTCCTTTAGGGGTATCACTGGAGAATTTTCCACTCTGTAAAGAATTGCTCATTCCACCTGGAACCCAAAACTATATGGTAAGAATGCGTCTCTATGATACCAACCGGCGGCAGCTGAACCTCACCATCCGGATTGTGTGTCGAGCAGAAGGATCCCTAAAGATCTTCATTTCGGCTCCATATTGGTTGATTAACAAAACAGGTATGGATAGAGCAGTGATGGTGAACCTAGGACACGCATGTCAGAGGTGACACATGAACTCATTTTTTTTGGTTGATTTTTCTTTGTTAAATGGCATTTAAGTATATAAAATAAATATCAAAAATATAAGTCTTTGTTTTACTATGGTTGCAAATATCAAAAAATTTCTATATGTGACACGGCACCAGAGTTAAGTTAGGGTTTTTCAAAATGCTGACACACAGAGCTCAAAAGGTTAGCCATCACTGGTATAGAGGCTGCTCAAGGGGGCCTTTGGCTTTGGCCATGGGAATTCAGGGTTTTGCTCAGCTGACTAAATGGAGCCAATAGACTGACTCCAACAGTCTGGGCTGCTGGAACTTTCCTGCTTCCATAATTAGTGCTCAGTCATGGTCAGAAATGTCCTCTTAGACAACAAAATGAGCCCACTAAATTAATTCAGTTTTCACTCTTGCCCCTTGATTATTTAAAAAAAAATTAATTTTACCGTTTACGTGTCTTGGAGAGACGGGGTGGGATTGATGTATACCTCCCCTCTCCTTCCTAAAGGGTTACCGCTGATCTTCAGACAGGACAACACAAAGACAGATGCTGCAGGCCAGTTCGAGGAGCATGAGCTGGCCCGGAGCCTGAGCCCCCTCCTATTCTGCTACGCTGACAAAGAGCAGCCAAACCTGTGAGTACAGTTATGTATGGGAAGGGGAAATAAGTTCCTAGGGAAGGGAAAAATTAGCAAAGGCTAGAGTGTATCCGTGTAAGTAGAATTGTACTGTAGATAACAATCCTGACTTGGCAGGGTAGCAGCACCATGACCTAATGGGATTCTTTCGGCTCTAATTTCTGTGTTACTTGATAGTGAAAATAAACCATTTGGTTGGTTTATAATGAAAGCTAGTTTTATTTTACGTGTGTTGGAGTAGTTCTATTCATAACTCTGCCAGTGAAGAGAAACCCACATGTTCTGTGCTCTGCATGGCTCCCTTCTGCTGTCAGCTCAGCACAGGCAGAGGAGTTGGCATGGGTGTGTGTGTGGGGGTGACTGGACCTCTGGTAAAGCCTCTGCCCCATTAATCCAAGCCAGGTCATTTTGTGTAAGGTGCCATTTAAGATCTCAAGCACTCCTTGCACGTTTAAAGGCAGGGAGAAGCAACAATTGTGAGGATTAGATGACATGTCCTTCTAATGTATGGTATGAGCATTAATTCACTTTTGTTCTTGGTTTTAACATTCTGCCTTTTACAGGAGTCTTAATTTGTAGGAGTAATCCAAATGGCATATCTGATACTCCTAAGATCCCATACCCTGGTATCTGCAGAAGTATGCTTCCTACAAGCTTAAGAGGAAGGTTTAGGGAGCACCACAGGCCAGTGGGTGCAGATGCGTCTTCCAGGGAGGGCTGGAGGCTAGGTTGTTGCTGGAGTCAGGAGAGGATTGACTGGGGTCTGGACGTGGTGGTCGTACAGATGCTAGCCCAGTCTCACTCTTTCTGACATTTATAACAGTTTATTTTATCCAGGGAATTTGTAGTTCCCCAAGCATTTCCATGTAGACCATCTCATTTGATTCTCCCAGCATCCCAGTGGCTTGGGCAGGGCAGAAAATACTGTTTTATTTTAAGATGTGGAAACTGAGGCTCAGAGAGAGACAGTTACCTGCCCAAGGTTATGTTGCTTGTTAGTGGCAGAACTGGAACACGCATTCAGGAATGATGGTTCTAGGGCCCACGATAAGATACTGGCCAACTAAACAGAGCTTTGCTGTTGTAATAGTACCAGCCATGGAGGGAACGTACCTTTAACCACATCTTCTGCACATGCTTGCCTTGCATCTACAGAATTGTGGGCATACTTTCCTTATATGTTCAGGGTATTTCGTGAACCTTTTTGAACATCTCAGTCAGGAAAAGTATTAGTTTGACTCAAATCCTTATTTTTCAGAGGAATAATAGATATTTTAGCATTTTCTGTATGTCTTATTCTTGTAGAATCTTAATGTTTTTTTCTTAAAGTGTTCAGTTGAAGACGTCCATACATTTTACACATTGTTGGACTGTGGCTGCCTGTAAGGTACGGCGTTAACCACCAGTAATTGCCTCGCTGTGTTTGGGAATCACATGAGTGAGGAAGAGTCAACATTAGAGTTGTAATTTGGGGTGTTAGCTACAGCACTGTTTCCTGATTAGAACAGGTGGACAAGACTTGCTTCTGGATGAATGTATCAACTTTTGCTTTTCTGCCCACAGCTGCACGATGCGGATCGGAAGGGGGATTCATCCTGAAGGCATGCCGGGCTGGTGTCAGGGCTTCTCCCTGGATGGTGGGAGTGGTGTCCGAGCTCTGAAAGTCATCCAGCACGGAAACCGCCCAGGGCTGATCTATAACATTGGTGGGTTACCCGGGGGGCGGCGGGGGAATCAGACCCTTGGCCCTGAGCTCAGGCTGGGACCATAAGCTGACCATACATTTTAGGCTTGGCCGCAGGTGCTGACTTTCTCATTTCGCTTTGGGTGAGGTATCTTTCCTCGGAATGCTTGATGGCTGTCAGCACAGATCTATCCTAGGGATCTAAGGAGCTACCTAAACACTGCCCCTTTTGAGGTCTGAGGCTCTGTTTAACTTAAAGTATCAGTTTGGCTTAAATCCTTGTTTTTCATGGGGATAATAGGAACGCTTAGAATGCTTTTTTCATCCTCCAGGCATTTCCCACGCATTCATTAAACCTTGCAAAGCCTAAGAGGGTCAGAGCATTGTTCTCCTTGAAACTGAAGCAGAGAGGTTAAGTGACTTGCCCAGACGCAGAGGGAAGTCTGGCTCAGAAGTGAGATTATGATTGCAGTGTGCACATTTGAAGCAGAAAATGTAATAAAATGCACTTGGTGGTTATAGTAATTAGAAGCCCACTGAACGGGCTTTGCTTACGGAGGTGGGGGTGATGAGGGGAGCGTACTGCACCTATAAACTCAGAGCCACCTGGAATTCTCAAAAGATTTTCTGTGGAGTTACAATAAATTTGATTATTTAAGTAACGCTTCGGGTTTAAAATGTTAGCGGTGCCTCCTTCCTAGTGTATAATTTCCAAGGATCGAAGCACCATTCATTGTCAAACGTTGGAAAACCGTCTAGGACTGTGCTGTCCGTCAAGCTCTCTGCGATGCGGGAAATGTTCTGTTTTGCACTGTCCAGTGGGGTAGCAGTAGCCACACGTGGCTGCCGAGCACTTGGGAGTACGCTACTCAGAAATGTGGCCAGTGTGACCAAGGGATTGAGCTTTTCGTTTTATTGAATGTTAATGGATTTAAATAGCCACATATGCCTAGTGGCTGCATATCGGACAGGGCAGAAATAGTCATGTTGTAGAAGGAGAGCCTAAGGTGGTGGTGTCTAGCAATTTGCCCTGGGGCCCACGCAGACTCAAGGACTTACGTGTTTGAGGTTTTATTAGTAATAGAGTCTCCTCCAAGTAGAGTTTGCTTTCCGTGTTGTTTAAACCTGAATTTGTGAGCATTCTCCCTTGTCCTGGGGCTGCCTCCTTTAAAGTTGACATTAAGATTTTTAACAGAAGAAACAAACTTTAATCTGACCCTCCAGCTGAGGATCATTTTCTTTACTTTTGTTCACATTGTTTGCTCCGCCCCTTGAACGGGCAAAGGCTGTTTCATGCCGTGTTTGGTTTTCTTTTGGGGTATCTTGTCCTTGATACGCTTTCCAAAGTAAGCTACTGCAGGTTGGCTAGAAACTGTAGTTGGAACAAATTGCGGGGTGGGGTGATGGAGCTCTGAGCAGCTGGCGCTAAGGAGTCACAGAAGTCTTTCAGGGAGGCAAATCGAGCTGGCCAATCAGAACTATACATTGAGTGCATGTGTAAACTTACATGCTAGGACAGTGATTTTCAACCTTCTTCATCGCTTGGCACACAAACTAATTACTAAAAGTCTGTCGCACACCAAAGAATATATTTTTTGCCAGTAAAAAACAAAGATATAGTTTTGATTGATTTACAAAAAAGAAGAAAAAGAAAATGTAATTGCCTACCCTTTTTACTCCAAAGTGACTATAAAAAAAAAATCAGGTGCCTATACTTGTATATAAAGATTTCTGGTGCCAGGAATTAACCAATGAGACACAACCTTATTATGCGATGTGACCAGTAAGTTACAACTCTATTATGTGACCTACATATTTATGTTTCAAGACAGGGCATTCACACTGGACGGCTGTTGTGCTGAGTTGTCATTTTTTTATTTGACGATCTAAGGGAAAAGAGGTCTGTGCACCTGACTAAATTGTCAGGTATTGCATGTTTTAAAAATTCTTGTGGCACACTATTTGAAAATTGCTGTGCTGGGAGCATTCATTAAAAATTATTACGTATGTTTCTAGGGACAAGACCATGATTTGAATTTTGTTTTTATACCAAAGAAAGCAATAGATGGAGTGGGCTAAGATAGGACTTTATAATTCTTAAGGTTCATGAAATCTTGACATATAATATCAAGGGAATTTGTGGAATCTCTTACTTGAATATTTTTGGAGAGTTTGATAGATAACTAGCTCCCTATCAGGAAAGTTTAAAACACAGTCCAAAGCTCAGGGAGGCCTCACATGTACCTCCAAAAAGAGGGATTTTGTACATTTTTATCTTATCAGCTATTCATTTACTGGGGGGTTGCCAGAGCAATCTAAGATGAAAAGGGAAACAAAAAAAGCCTACTTTTTTTCCTCCAAAAATTGAGTCTCGGTACTGTAGATTTTTTTCATAATGTCAAATTAAACACATCTTTTGTGGGTAGACTTTATATTAGTTGAGATCAGCTGGTTATGATAATGTCAGTTTCTGACAATTAATGCTTTTTTGTGTGTGTTACAGAAATATGAGTGATAGGGACTATCTCTCGGTTCCAGTATTCCCAAACATTTCTTAAATACAGTTTCAGAGATGGTTGTTTTGAGATTTGCTCAGTCTTTTATATTGAAGACTTATATTGAAGGCACACCCAGTTTTTCAAGCCAGCACAGATGAATTACAGAGTTAACAGATTGGAATATTGATAATTGGGGTTATGTTAGGACATCCAGGGCACTTAGTTGTTGTATCCTAAGGTCTCTTTCCTTTTTATGGTTCTCTTGTTGACTGCTGAGTAGGGTCCTTTTACATGTCTCATCATGATGTGAGTGAGGGCTTCTGAGGTAGGTGGCTGTGTGACCTAGGGCAAGTTACCTTGCTTTCCATGCCTTAGTTTCCTCATCTGTAAAATAGAAAGAATAAAAATACCTAACTCATAAGGTTGTTATGAGAACTAAATGTGGAGCCTTTGGTACAGGGTGTAACTTGTATTAAGAGGTCAATTAATATTATTATATTCATTATCTGTACTATAAATATTTTTATCATTGTATAAACAGAGTCCAGCCCAGTTGCTATATTTATTGTGTGAATGAACAAATAGTCATTCCCACTGAGTTTCATATTTTAAAAAATGATCATATTTTTAAAGCTAATTCAGTGCTGTTTATTTTTTTCCTTTCTTAGAGTGTTTTGAGATTTCCTTCTGTTTAATTATGACTGTCTTTCCATGCTGTGTGTCTTGTTTGCCTTTTTCTCCCTGTACATAGTGGGTGCCGAAAACATGTATTTTACGAATGAATGAATTCTATAATATTTTACATTCGGTTTTAGCTGGATTCTTGGGCCAACAGCTAAAAGAAAATACTAGAGAAAAGTCCTTTGAGTTCAGGGTAGTCAGAATCCAATTAAGTAATCTGAAATTTCTACTGTATCCTGTAAAAGGGGCAATTCTCTAGTGGGAATTTTGTGTCCCAGATGTGAGCAGAAATGTCAGCTTCATAAATGGAAACCAAAGGTATCTATGACTGAACACCTGTGTTTTTTAGTTGCTGTTATTATGATACACACTTTATGAAGAAGCTAGGAGTTATGGGGATATCGATACTGCCACTGAGACTTTGTAAAGCCTGAGTGGGAATAAAGAATAATACTTCGAGTGTGGTTGCTGTTTTCATTCCATTCTTGGAAGGCTTGACAGCCTCGTTGAGTGATACAATTGTTTTCTTAGAGAAACAAAGTAATTGTGAAGGCTATTTTTGTCAGACCATGGACTATCTTTTTTTCTGATTAATTCATGGCAGTGGTTTTTGTTATTTGTAGGTATTGATGTCAAGAAAGGCCGAGGTCGATATATTGACACCTGTATGGTCATCTTTGCCCCCCGTTACCTGTTAGATAATAAATCATCTCACAAGCTTGCATTCGCGCAGAGGGAATTTGCCAGGGGACAGGTAAGCGGTTTACTTTTGAAGAATTACTAGTGTTTAATAGCACAGGGAGTTTTAATGTCATGGCTTATCTCCCCTTCAACGCTGTAAGTTCTGTGATGTAACCATTTCCTGCCTTTGGTACCCTAAATAGCTCTGGTAGAGGACCAGGCTCAGAGAAGGTACTTAGTGAACATTTACTGTCTTGACTTGACTTGTTGACCAAAGCCAGTGATTCTGTGTGTTTTAGGGAACAGCCAATCCCGAAGGTTACATTTCTACCCTTCCTGGTTCCAGTGTGGTGTTCCATTGGCCTCGGAATGACTATGATCAGCTGTTGTGTGTCCGATTAATGGATGTTCCCAATTGTATTTGGTCTGGAGGCTTTGAGGTCAACAAGAATAATTCTTTCCACATCAACATGAGGTAAGTTCAGAGACTACATTTAGACAAAAAGTAGCTTTGTTTGAGGTGCATTAAATAGTAAGCTATAAATACCATATAAATTTTAAATAGTTATAAAGCTATAAATAGTAAGTAGTAATACTACTCTTCATGAAATGGACGCACATGTTTCTGGCTCAGACAAAGTTCTTAAAACTTGCAAAGACCAGGTATATATGAGTGAACTTTTTGTTGGGGTGAGTTAAAGGGAATGTCAGCAGTTTTGACCATGGTGCAACTGGTGTGGTCTTAGGTGTCAAGCTGAAGGGGTAGCACCTCTGAAAACTCTGCATTTCGACATTAACACTGATTATAAATGTTTTTACTAAATCTTCTTTCTTTTGATGCTATTTCAGTAATTATCTGCCCTTCTTTGCCAAACCCAGTGACATTCAGGTCCTTGTTAAGAAAAGTCAACCAAATTTAGCCTCAACTAGCCCAGGGTGACTCTTCCTTCTGCTTTCATCAAATGCTTTTTTAAAAAGTATTCGAAGTTTTTTAAAAAAAATAGTGGTAAGATACACATACCATGTGAGAAAGAAAACACAAAGGCTCAGAGATTGTTTTGTGGGCTTCAGGTACATAAAATTTACCACTTCAATCATTTTTAAGTTCACTAGTATGAAGTACATTCATATAGTTGTGCCACCAATCTCCAAACTCTTTTTTTTTTCCTTTTTTTTTTTTATTATTAGTTAAGGTATTACAAATGTGTCCTTATCCCCCCCCATTAAACCTCAACCTCCCCCTGCACACACACTCATGCTCCCATCCCCTGTTGTCCATGTCCATTGGTTTGGCGTATAT